AGCTGAACGGAACCTCAGCGACGCTCGACGCGCCACTTATGTCCGTCGGGCTGGATTCTCTGACGGCAACGGAGCTGGCGCGCAATATTAGCGAGCACTTCCGCATGCCTGTCCCGTCTACACTCCTTTTTGATCATCCCAGTGTAAATGCTCTAGCATAATGTGTGGCTGAGTCAGGCGCCTTTGTCGCGGTGGTGGCTGATGACTGCGATGACGCTGATATCGCTCATGTCAGCAGCCGACTTGACTGATCAGAATGTGACAGAAGTGTGAACTTACACGTGTCGGGGGAGTTTTCTATGTAGCTGCCTTGTCGTTCTCGCATCTCCTTGAGAGCAATCCTCGCGAGAGGTATAAACACAAAGTTGACCTTACCAATCGTTCGCTGGGGTGACCTCACAGTGGACCACCACTCTGCGAAATACGGCGCTTACACTGACTCACTATTGGCTACAGACGCTAGGGCTTTTGGCATTTCCAGAAGCGAGTCATCTCAAATGAACTCTCAAATGATACTGATTTTAGAGGTAAGCTCCACGGCAATTTGTGCTTCGTTCAAAACGAATTGCTATGCTCATCTTTGAAATCACCATATCGGGTTTGTCTTGGGGGCCAACGGTGGCTTCCCAGATGATGATGCAGGATGTGGTCGGTCCTGAATGATCTCGGTGTTTTCTGGCACCTCGACGTCGCTCGCAGTCGCCTGTGGGTGATTGTCATATGTGCTTGGCCTTTGAGGACCAAGCCTTTCCGTCGACACCGCATGCTCGGCATCTTTGGTTGCGCTACATGTGGGGTCTCTGTCAATAATTCTCGACAAGATATCACATGCCGCAATTGGCGGGAGTTTGTTGATTGCTTCTATCGTGTCGATCGCTTTCTCCGCAGCAGGAATGCTTTCTGCGCATGGGCGATGTCACACGTTTGACGGTTGAGCTGATGGGTTCTGTCGTGGTGAAGGGATTGTGACATTTCTGATTGAGCCGCAGGAGTCTTGTACCTAAGTCGCTGGTTCAAGCGTTTAGCAAGACGGTCCGCGTGCGAGTCTCACGGCGCCGAATGGTTCCTCGCAAAGGGCGCTCATCGAGGCAGTAAAGAGTGGTGGCGCGTCAAGGTATGCTCTCGAAGCGCACGGCACGGGCACAGCGCTTGGAGACCCAATCGAGGTATCTTTCCTGGGGATGATGTCCATATGAGGATTCCATTTAGGTTGGTGCTGCCATTCGGGCGCTGTGTACCGACTCGTAGTTGATATAATGCGCTTCTTTGAAGTCAAACATGGGTCACTTGGAGGCCTCGGCAGCTGTCGCAGGTTTGGCCTCTCTTGTGCTCATACCTCTCAGCATTAATGTGATAACCGTGAATGCGCAACTCAGGAGGTCCTCCTTTAGCTCAGGGCCCGCCAATCTCTGAATGTTAGGCTGAACACACACCTGTTCGCGATCCTGCTGTCATCGTTTTAGGTGCCTGTCGAGGCGCTGGCTGAAGGTGAGGCGCACCGATCATTCGCTGGTCGGCTGAGCTCGTTTGGGTTCAGCGGGACCATCGCGCATGGGGCCTTTGCCGCTTTGTCATGTTCTGATCTGTTTATCTCGACGGTCGTATGAACGTCCAAGTATCGTGCTTAACAAGCAGGGGCCGTTTGCAAAACGCCGGTGGAAATCAACAAATCCGCATCAACAACGACCGGCAGGGGAGTGGGCGATTGGCCTCTGAACAACACGTGCGTGTATGCAGTCCTTTTGTTGTTCGCGGTTACAGCAGTTCACGCACCTCTTCGTGACACTTAGTTCAATAGCCAAGTCATATCATA